TTTTTATCTCATGCTCTCTTTTCTTTCCCCCTGTAAAGTGGCTACTACTAGCTGCATCGGAAATCATTTTTTTTCTTTTTTGGTTGAACTGCTTGGTCTTTTTAGTTGAATTGTCATGTTAATGCCTTCGTCAAAACTCATCAGTTACTATTTCCTTCTTTTTGTGTTGTCCCTGAAGTGAAATTGTCTCTTGTTTTGCTGTTACATATCAATTGATTCTCTCCTTGACCTTTCCCTATATAATGCATCTTGTGACAAGACATCCCTACTCCTGAGATTTTGAAAGAGAAATATGTTAGAACAGATTATAAGCCACTGTTGTCGTTGCTGTTGTTACTGAAGTTTAATAGTTTCTCATTTTGCTGTGTACATCAATTGATTCTTCTCTTTAACCTTTCCATTATAATGCATCTCATGACAGCGCATTACTATTCCTGAGATATTGGAAGATGAATGGTTTAGGAAAGATTATAAGCCACCTGTCTTTGAGGAAAAAGATGATACAAATTTAGATGATGTTGAAGCAGTTTTTAAAGATTCAGAAGTAAGTTGAAGAGTCAATTTTTTAAGAGAAAATTTTTTCCATGTTGATAACTATGTAAAAGTCTTTTCACAAGGTGTATGCCTTGACACCTGCAACAGGAATACCATGTGACAGAGAGAAGAGAAGAACAGCCAGCACCTATGAATGCGTTTGAGTTGATTTCTATGTCAAAAGGGCTCAACCTTGGAAATTTGTTTGATGTGGAACAGGTCCAAGCTTCTGTTGTACTCCTCCCTTTCTTTCAGCTTAGTTTTAACATTGGACTTCCGAATTGGTACATCTATTAGTAGCCGCCTTGTTTTTGGTAAATAAGTTCATGACTGCTGGGGCTTGCTAAAGAATAACTGAATCCATATCTTCATCTTGCAATCAGAGAAAACTTCAGCACGAAGAAGTCTTTTGGCATTGCTCACCTGTATTTTATTTTTGAGGCAGTTAAGCTATCAAGTAGATTTTAGAAGATTATTCTTTTGATATTTGCTGCAACTTGGTAACAGAGCTTATATGTATTGGGGTGGTTTCATCTTGTGGTTTTAGATGTAGAATAAAAAAAGTGGATTATACATAACATGTTTATTTGCATTTTGAAATTTCAGTCACGTGTGAAACTGATATCACTTTTTGATTGGGCCTGTAATATTTCTTTCACAGGGATTTAAGAGGGAAACTAGATTCACATCCAAATGCCCCGCTAATGAGATAATCAACAAAATTGAAGAAGCTGCAAAACCGCTTGGTTTTGATGTTCACAAGAAAAACTATAAGGTGACTGAAGTCTAGCAAATACACACTTTAATATTGTAACAAAGAAGATAAAATGGAAAAAGACAGATATAAAATGTTTATTTTTTTTGGCTGTCCAGCTGAGGCTTGAAAATATGAAAGCTGGGAGAAAAGGAAATCTTAATGTTGCTACTGAGGTTTGTGAAAGCATGAAGCTTAATTGATTAATGCGCTGGTTTCTCTAAAAATTTCTCCTAAATTAGTTCCCTCGTGGATTGATCAGGTTTTTCAAGTGGCACCTTCTCTTCATATGGTTGAGGTGCGAAAGCAAAAGGAGACACTTTGGAATTTCATAAGGTATGCTATTCTGCTGACCTTTAATGTAATAGTTTAAGGGAAAAGGTTATCCTACCATGAAAAATTTATTGGTGCAAATGAGTTAAGACTTGACTCATGGAGAAAACATTGTTGTATGGTAGGTCTCATGTTGGTTCAATGTATATTAATCATTCTTCTAAAACTGCCTTTATTTTTCGTCTTTCCTGCTTTTTGTATCATAGCATTTAGCATTCTTGGGCCTTCATGTCCCCGTAGTTAAAGATAATGCAGGGTTGGTTTAGTAAGCTAATGCCTCCTTGGTAGTTAAGGAGTTAACGGCTGTGACATTATTTTTCTTATTTGTATGTGTTTTTCAGGCCAGTCAGGTTGATGATAGATTGTCATATCAAAAGCTGGCCAGATAAAACAGATGAAAGTAGAATTAGAAAAATCAACCCACCAAATAAGCTAACACTGCATAAATCAGAACGGAAACACTACCTGTCTTATATTCATCATCCTTTGAATAGTCTTTGCAATATCAAATTTTTTCTCTTTCTGGTTTGTGACACCTTGGGGAGTTTTCCTAAAATGAGGTACCTCGAGATGTATTCTTGTACAAAGGGTAGTTTGATGCAGGTCTTAGTATATGTTGGGCAACATACTTTAGTTCAATTTCTCACTTCGATGTCCCTAGGGCATGAGCTCCCTGAAAAGATAGAAGGAAGAATTACCATGAATGGTTTCAATCTTGCAGAACAATCTTTGCCTCTGATAACACCTAAAATCTAGCCATTGCATAATTTCTCCCTCTTTCAACAGTCCTCAAGGTGGGGCATAAATATCCCACATCCATCTTGTGTGCAATGAAATGGAGTACATTCCTACGACACATCATCTATTTGGTTCTGGGACCTTACAAAGGTATGCATATAAACCATTCATTCAGCTTTTCCTCTTATGGAAATTCTATTTATCTCAATTTCCTTTGTCTTGTGATGATGACTTGGATTGTGGGCAATTTATTGACAGCTTTTACCGTTGCAATATAAAAGAAATGGTTTGTTACTCATGACTCATCATGCCTGAGCTTGCATTAGACCCTGTATTTAGTTTTCAGTTCCTAACTCTCTGGAGCCATCACGTTCCACCGGGGTTTTGGTACTTGATCTAGCTTAAACTGCATGCTTCTTGGCCAAGTATAAAAGTCCCTCCACCAAAAGGTCCAATTTCCAGATCTAGATCTCCTCTTATCTAATAAACCAACCCAATTAGCCTCAGTAAATCCATCCATCTTCAATGACCCTGGTTAAAATATGGAGTGTTCCCTTTCTAGGTACAATTTCAGGTATCTGGGGATATGGTATCCGATATCCAGATGAGAATGCATGAACTTACTAACCAAATTCTGCCTAAGTGATGATGAAAACAGTATGAGATATGTCCAACTTTCCAACAAGTTTTTTGAAATCTCCATCCACCATTGCCTTTCCATTAACTTGTCAGCCAACGATTAGATAAGGTTGGACACTGAGAGTGTTTCTTGGTTGGTAGAGCATGAGTAATGACTTCCAACTTATTTTGTATTATTCTCCACATCCACACACCATATCCTCCTCATTATTGCCACATCCAAATTTGTGTATCCCCATTAGTTGTCAGTTTGCTCCTCCATTTGCATGTACTTGAGCAAGTCCAAATTTAGAAATATGCATAGGCCTAAATGCAAATCGAGACACCTCATCTCGACATTATGATTCTGTTCCCCTGAAATGGTGATCGAAAATAGCTTTCTGCTCAAGAAAATTAATACCCATAGAGATGATTGTTTACACAGATAGCATCTTTAACCTTTTTGTGTAGTCAAGTGCCACATAAAGCTGCAATTAGGTGCTCGTGGATCAAGTTTTATCTATGTAACTAAACTGATTACACAAACACCTTAAGGATAATGTATGAATGAGTAACCATTAGCAACACCAATTGGGTTTTTAAATAAAGCCCAAGCAAGGCTGAATCTCAATAAAGGTAGAAGCAAAAAGAGCTGTTGCCATCGTACCTGTACAAGTAAAACTAGATGTGGGAGTTTAAAAGTAATGAATATTTGGTAGAAGATGTATCAGGACGCTTGAGTTTGTAATTCATCCATAACTAGACTGTGTGGGTAATTTAAGGGAATGTGTTGCCTTAGAAAAGCGTGCTTGTGAATTGCTGTGGTGGTTCCTTCTCCTCTACCTTTAGTTAGTAGGCATCTGTGAAGTTTCCAGCATGTTTCTTAGGCACTATTTGGTTGGAAGAGAAGGTGGAGAAAGGGAAGGAATGGAAAGGAAGGGACAATGGATAGGTTTTCTGTTCTTTGGCATGGAGGAAAGAGGAGAGGAATGCATTGGTGGATGGTTTAAAATGAGTTGCTCTTCACAGAACGTTTTCCATCCAAAACTGGATGAAACACACAGTGGAAAAAGAGCCACAAGATCAGAACCATCATGTCCAACAAATTCAAGTGGATGGCAGTGGTCCAAGACTGCAAATTAATGAATTTCAAATACTCCTGATTATTAATTTTTTTACAGGTTGATCAATGAGCTTTTGAAGTAAAACACTAAATATAGAAATACTAATATTCATATACACATTCTTATGTACATGTATAAAAGTAACATAATTTCCATTTAAAAGGTAAAATATCTATTAATTTGCGTAATTTAATTTTTTTGTTAGACATTCCATTTTTTTTTTTTTTTTTTTTTGGTTGCCAGTTTTTAAGATCATCATTTCTTTTACCTAAAATGTTAAATCTCAATTATTTAGTCCATAAAGGAATTTCTTGGCTTCCAACAAAAGAAAATATCACATATTATAACATTAACTTGTTGTATATCAAAGTTTTACAACTGGTTTTATTTACAGGAAATATGCTCTGTAACATTATTATAGAGATCTAGTAATATATATTATATGCTCATATTATGCTAACAAATTGCAATGACACTATTCAGGGATGTACTAGTTAGCCCTTGAACTTTTGTTTTTCTGAATTATTAGTTTAAAAAAAAAAATGTTGTTTAATGACTATTCTTCAAAAGGTCCTATTTTATGAATTTGAAATAGAAGTAATGCCAAAAAATTACCATTAGAAATAAAGCTTATCTATGACTTCATAAAGAGTATAGAGATAAAATTGGCGTGGAGGGCATCTTTTCATCCTTCCACCTGTCCTGCCTAGTGAACAAATTGAAACCGTTCCTTTTGTCTTCCATTCTAGTGAATCGTGCAGAGTGCAAGGCAACTGAATCCTATATAGGTGAAGGATTATTTTCTTTTGCATCTTTCCTTCCTTATCCATCCTTCCAAGCGTAGCCTTGGTGTATTAAATGGCTCAAATGGTCCTTATTGACTGGATTGCCTTTCCTCTGTTGGAAGTGACGAGTGAAGAAGTTGATGATCGTTCTGGTACCAAGATCGAAAGATTGAAAAAATCTGGTAGAAAAAACGTAAAATATTAGAGAATGTAGAAAAAAGGATAAGGAGGAATTAGAATGTATAGCTTAGTTTGTCATTATAAATATACTTTTTGTTTGTCTGCAAAATTGGCCTAAAATTTGAAGCATGCATTTAATGTTGTGAGAGAAGGATTAAGTACGCTTGTGTAGCCATAATTATAAAATTTTTATTGTTGAACAACAAATATTAATTTTGCTTTTTGTTTTTGTTATTGTTATGGTTTTTATTTTTTTTGTGGCTGTGTTCTTGTTGCAGTTCTATAAAAACCTATCAACCTGTCTTGAGGATGTGGTTTGGAAAACTGAGGAGGATATGCAAGAGATGAAGTGAAGCACAGGTTTATATATGAGCCTTTTCCCCTTGTACCTTACAATTGTACACTTGCTGTTGGCTTTTCGGTCTTGTGTTTTGTCTTATTTTTCTCAAGGTTTTATTCCATGCCAGCAGATTATAGAGAGTAAAGACAGCATTGGTGTGCCCCACTTTTCTTCTTTTAAAGAAAAAAGTAGGTAGTCCCCAAAAGATGTGCAGTTTGTATTCCCATTTGTACACCTTTTTGAAAGCATATGATATCAGCATTGAGATTTTTATTAAGAAAAAAGAACTCTTAGTGCTTTATCCCACCTTTTTATTTTATTATTATTATTTTTTATCATTTGTAAATCCGGGGACTGTGATGCCGTTTGCCGGCGACACTTCATTATACAAGTTCTCAGTTGTCTTTGCTTTCTTAAAAGTTTGGACATTCTCTTTCTTTTTTTTTTTAAAAAAAAGGGCTTTGGCTTTTCATGATCTGAGGGTTATTAGCCTTTTTTTTCCCCTTGCAGTTGGAATGGTCAAAAGTCTACTTTAAGAAGCGTTCCGGAAAGCATCTCCTCTAAGGTCTCGAGAGGAGTATGGTTTTTTCCTTATTGATGGATTATATTTGTCTAGTGTCTACTTATGAGCTTGAACTCCTTGAATCATCTGGAGGTCATTATATTTGCTATTAATCGGGGAGGGAGAAGGATACTTGAACGTTTTTGAGTGGACAGCCTTGAAATTCTTTTGCTTTTTCTCTCTGCTTTTTTTTTGGTTGTGGGTGGGGGGGGGGGGGGGGGGGAGGGGTGGGGTGGGGAGGGGAGGGGGCTGTAGGGTTGTGTATTCTGAAATAAATCTGTGCAGTTATAGCAACTTTGCCGCTGAGTAGAGTTTGAGGGATCCGAAATGTTGTTTTATTTTGTAACCTTGATGGTGAGGGATCAGGGTTAAGAGGAAAGACGATTATTTCGGAAACAGGGGTGGGGGAATGAATTCACATTCTATTTTCGCATTTCAAAGTATTAGATGAAAGATTCGTGCAAGTGGTGGCAAAAAAAAAAAAAAAAACTTTTGATTTTGGCGCCATTTATTTTGTGTTCACAAATCGGACTGTAAGAAGTAATTGACTATGTCATGTTTAAGTTATTTATTTTATTTTTTTATTTTTTTTTGTAATAAAAGAAACAATTCTAGTACCAAGATTCAAAAGTCTCAGTATTAGAGGAGTTTATAACACACACACCCAAAGCTTCAAGGTCCAATGTGAGACATAGAAGGAGGCACGCAAATTATTTTTTTTATTATTATATATATTCGCTATAAATTCAAAATGCCTAAAAAAAATTTATAATCATTCTTAGCCATTTTCCAACTTAATTGAGAGTTTAGATTAAAGAAAGCAAAAGCACAACAATAAAAATTAATATGTGAATATCTTCTTATATATCTTATATTTGCAAAATCAACATGAATTTAATATGCGAGATTAATATAATCACTTTGCCTTTTATTTGACAAAATTGAGCACTAAAATATGTAGTTGTCAATTGATTAGATTTCGACTGGATTATGATAGATATGAATTTGAATCCAAATCCCAATCCAAATTTAATAGTAATAT